CTTGGGGTCTTAAAATGCTGTGTATTGCCAGGAGTGGTGGGTGGTGCATGTTCTTAATTCCAGCACTTGAGAGGCAGGCAGATCTCTGTGAGATTGAATTCAGTCTGGTCTACATAGTGAGTTCCAAGCAGGGAGACCCTATCTCAAACACACAATAAACAAAAAGACAAAACAAAACAAAACAAAACAAAACAAAAAACAGCCCTAAACACAAGTACAAAAGAGTACCACTAAATTGTCTCAGTGTATTATCTATAAATGTATAACTGTATATGAAACAATTATTATTGAGGAAAGGGACAAGAAATTGAGATGTAATTGGGGGGTAAATGGAGGAGGAGTTGGAAGCAGACTGAGAGGGATGGAAATGGTGAATATACTTATTTATAATATTCACAAAACGAATATTTTAAATGCTTGTGAATTGGTGCCTCAAGAGAGAGAGCTAATGTACCCCTCAACTCTCACCAGTGAGGCTTCCTTATACATCAGACTGTGATGCACACAGAAGGCCACCACTGGCCAAGTTTTGGAGAACGTAGGATGGGACTCCTGTATGGAACCTCACCCACCCACAGCTCAGGGACCATTGTGGAAGAGAAGGTGAAAGATTCTAAGAGCCAGGGCTGGTTCCAAAACACAGGGAGGTGGAGGTTTCCAGAGCACTGGAGGCTTGCTCATGTGAGCCTGTGGCAGTGGTGACATCAAGCACTGGACTCTTGTCAGCTCAATTAAGCAAGAGCCCAAAGGGGAGGTGAGAGATAGGTGGCAGGCTGGCACTAGATTGACAACTATTTGAGACTGATTGCTGCTAAGTGATGGAGAGTATTTATGGTTTACATAGGACCGCTGGATGGGCTGACTAGACTCCAGTGGATGTATTTACAATGGAGGACATTTGGGCACAAACACCTGAATCAATAGGACTCAGCATGTATTGCAGAATGCATAGAGTTTGGTGGGGGGATGGGAGGAGGCATGGATGGGGAGGAGGTCTGGATTTGAGTGGGAAATGCATAAAATTTAAAAAGCTCAATAAAAGAGATGTATGTTTCTTGAGAATATGTATTATCTATTAAAGTCTGTTTTTATTAATATCCAATAGTTGTTCTATGGGTAGAACTGAGTTTAGTCCAATGAAGTCTATGCTCTGTTGGCCCTCTTTTATCACTCGTTAAAATATGTGGCACAGGGATGTAGAAGAATTCATTCTTCTTAAAGTTTAGTGTTTTCTTAGCTTTAAATAAATTAAAAAGCTGGTAATCACAAAAAATTGGAGAAATCATTAAGATTCCAATTTTAAAAGATTAAAGCATGAAATAGTTCACCTGTGATATTCATGAAAAATTTATTTTAGGGAGATAAAAATAAATCTTGAAATCAAATTATGTCATTTAGGCAGGTGGTTACTAAGCAGTGAAAAGAAAAACTGAAATTGAGTAAAAGTTGCCAGAGGGGGAGACCATGTAAAGTATTCTATGTTTATAAAGTAAAAACTTTAAATACCAGCTATGAATTTAAGTGGGCAGTGGGTCATTTCCTCATTTAAGTGCCCTATGATGCTAGAGAGGCCACATGCCCAGACAAATGTGAGACAATGTGTGGTATCAGATTGATTTCCTGGCCATTATAGAACCTACCAGCTGCCCTCACAGAGTTATCAGTTATCTAAAGAAAAGCATATTTTCACAACTTGGTAATTGTATTTATTTTATTAACCTTCCCAATCTAGAAAAAAATGCTAGCATTCTCATTTTTCTACTTGTCAAAATGGAGATGAGATTGTAAGTGATAAAAGGAACTACAGTAAGAACAGAAAACTCAACCATGGAACTTTCCAGGCCCCAAAGTATCAGGAGCACAAAATACTATTAGGGTGCTTAAATATCACAGGAAATGTGATTGGTCAAGTGGGAAATTACTTCATAGAATTCTTTTCAGGTAAAGAACTTCATGGGCTCGGTGAGTAAAGCACTTGGTGTACAAGCGTGAGGACCAGAGTTGGAATCCCCAGAGCTCTCGTAAAGCTGGATGCAATAGTGTGTGTGTGTAGTCCTGATGTTCCTAGGGTTAGAAGGAAAGTGATGGCAGGAGAGTCCTTGGAAGCTCACTGGCCCACTGCCTGCTTTATGCAGCAACGGACAGCAGACAAGAGACCATTGCAAACAAGGTAGAAGACTAGGACCAACGTGGGTAGTTGGCCACTGACTTACACAGACACACAAACACACATCATGCCTGTTGTCTCACACTCATGCATATACATGAACACACATCATAAACACACAGAATAATAAAAAATTAAAAAGAAGGTTGCATATTGGAAAATTGATAAGGATTAGCCTGAACCACTGAGGAAGATCACACAACTGTAGACTCCATTTCCAACATAGTTTTGTTTTCGTGGAGGAAGATACGCAATAATGGCTGGGACTTGGTTTTTGTAGAATTTCTTGATTCTTCATCACTCAGTAAAAACCATAATCTAAGTAATTATGGACACATATTTAAAAAAACATTCTACTGATCTAGTTATCTGAAAAGACAATAAACATCCATGAAAATCACAGCCAAGACAGGTATTTATGAAAACGGAGGAATTCCTAGTTCTCCTTCACTCTTTCCAACAAAATTTCTTCCATTAGGAGTGTTGCTAGGACTTTTGCTCTTTTTTTGTTTGTTTGTTTTTCTTGTTTGTATTTTTTCAGAGCTCATCAACAAAACATAGCCCTCAGTCTTCTACTACAAGAGAATTAGGGCCTCTCAAATAGCTTTCCTTACGTAAATGTTCATCAGTTCAGTTTGAAATCTTGCCTCACCTATGATTAAAACCATTCACTCTTCCATGTTCACTAGGTCCTGTTATCTACAATGTTATTCTTTCTTTTAAAAGCATGAATATATCCAGATATCACTGTCTGTACTTAAGAGAGCCTGGATAGTCTTAAATTAGGCAAATTTAGAACTTATTCCCTAAGACTGAAAATAAAGATCCATGGAGTACATGAAAGTCTACCGCCATGGTTTATAGAACCAGTTCATGCAACTGATGAGGAAACTTTGGAATACTTACTTAGGCTATGCATATGTAATATTGCTAGGACCATCCTAAAAATGTTAATCAAATAGCATATAGGCTACATGCTAAGTAATGCGTGCCATGAAAATATTCTTGTCTTCTGAGCACTTTTTGACAGAATATATTTCATAGTAAAGCCTTAGATATTCATTAACACACACTTGTCTTTCTCTCTTTGAAGTCTTTTTTTCCCTTCCCCCAGTTAGCTTCACTTTAGTAATGTAGAGGTTTCACTGCGGAGACCCAGTGAAACAAAGAAAAACTTCATAGAGCCATAGCAAGAGAATGAAAACATACCACGCTAATTTGTCTGCTTTGCTGCCCTTCTATCAACTATGGAAAGCTGCAATAAATAAACGAACAAATAAATAAGATTCATACAGAAGTACATGTATACAGGGACTTTTGAGATATATTCCTATTTTTATATATGCCTAACACAAGCCTTCATCGAGCTGGTGTAGCTTTGTGACATCACCATGTCCTTTTGTGTGAGTCATTAAACTGCTGAAGCCCAGAAAATCAAATTTAGTTTAGGGCTGTTTGATAATGTAATAACAGAGTAAAATGTGATTCACCAATTAGCTCATGTAATTGAATAATCAAAAACATGCTCTGAGTGAGTCGCAGAGGCATATTAGTTCATCTACGTTGTCGTTCCTTGTTTTTAGATTATCACTGTAAATATGCCTTCCACCGATGATAATACTTCCACATTTCTTAGGAAAGTGAACTTACAAATATCTGTGACCATAAATCAATAGAGTGCTTAACTTAGCAACTCACTTGTTTCCCTTTCCTCCTTCATCAATTCCCTCTTACCAGCTCTAAACTGGGCAAAGGTCTGGATCTGTAGTCCTGGCTTTCACAGACTATATTTCAATTCTCAGTGTCCACAGATTATATTTAAATTCTCTTAAGATGGAAAGGCAAACTCAAGTTAGAATCCTACAGAAATTACAGTTTTGTAGTTGAAAATTTGTCTCCCTGAATGATTCCTAAATTCTAATGGTGTTGCTAAGATTTGCATTAGACAAGCAGCAGCCAATATAAGACTTTTCTTTCTCAGAAATTTTAATTGGCTAAGGAGAAATCCGTGATAGATGAAATTAGCAATTGAATGTTTGTTAGATTTGTTTTATGGCATTTCCTCATAATTCTCTGTGCACATCTGTCAAAACTAAGGTGCCTGGCTGCACTCAATATGTTCTTCTCTTTGTAAATTCAGATCACTGCAAGGATTGATCGGATGATTAAGACAATTTCTAATAAGAAATTTCAAAGTGTGTCTTACTTTATTCTTTTCTTATTGCTTCTGAGGTATGTGGGCATACTTGCATGGTCCAAGGCTTCCCAGTAATCATAATGAAGAATAATTGGAATCAGTTACCTGAGCTTCAGTCAACGAGGAAAAAGAATATCTTAGCTGGCACAGTCATCCTTAATGTAGTTTTACCACTCAAAAAGAAGTAAAAGAGGAAGGAGATGAGGAGGAGGAGGAGGAGGAGGAGGGAGAGAATGAAGGTGGAAAAGAGATATTATCTATAGCTGCACTGTCATTTTAAAGGTCACACTTTATAGTTTTTATTCATGAAATTTGAACAGATATTAATGAATAATTTCCTTTATAATTATAACATCACCATTAGATGATTTGTTCTTTATAGTTCCATAATGCATATTTTGTATAGTCTCCTAACAAATAAATTACATCATTCTAAAAGATTGAATCATTGTTGATTTTTTTGATAGTCTCATATCATTTGAACAAGAACTAGAAGCAAAAATACAAACATAAAGAAAATGTCCTGGAATGACACACAGGCCACCACATCTGGACTTGCCCTAAAATGTTTTAAATGTAGCATCTCATCTTCAAAATACATTAATATTTCTCTTTCATTTTACTCTCTATTTACAGGTCAATGGAACAGAAATTGAATATGAATTTGAAGAAATTACACTGGAGAGGGTAAGAATTTAAAATTCAAATTCTTAATTTTGCATTCTGCCTTTTAACATTGCGCAGTTGTGTTTTATAACCTGGAAGAGTTCCATAAGACTTACAGTGAGAATATAAGTGACATAATTGCAGATTGTAACAGGGAGCATTTAGACAGAAGACCAACTATCCATAATGTTCAATATATAAATTGCATCTCTGAGAACTGAGGAAATGAATGGGAAAGGCAGAAATGGTCCAAGAGCTTGTATAGGTCATCATTCTGAATGTTTCTATTCCTATTGTGTAAGCCATACAATTCTAAGATATATTATTAAAAGATGTTCTTATTTGTATGCTGTTGTTGTTGTCATCTGACCTACAGCTACCATGCATCCTTTATTTAGTTAACAAAAAGCAGTGATCAATTTTAAAACTATCCCTATAGGGAGAAACACAGCAGTTCTGCAGAACTCTGCAAATATGCTCGAAAGATCTTGACAATGAGTTCTGACTAAGAAAACTGTACTACGTGGGCATAATATATTTAGATATTTTTCAAAATAACAAAAGGAATGTCAAAGACTGTCTAGAAAAAATGTTGGAAGGTAGAATACTCATCACTTAAAAAGGTGAACATAGGGAGACCAGCTTACCATCATTAAGAAATAGAGACAATGGGGGTGAAGAGTTTTATCTCTAATTGGCAAATATTTTCAAAGCAATACTAATATCTAGTGCCAATAAGAAGTCCTGGAAATTAGTCCTCAAAATTGTTTGATTTAGAAAGAGTCATCAAAAACTTTGAAAATGGAGTAATAAGTAGTGTTTAAAATGTAATTGAATATAGATGGGGAAAAGTATGAGAAACTCAGGAGAAAATAGTCTCCAACTCTGGGGTTTGATGATGCCTCCCACCAGAAGAGAGGCAGGAATTGAAGAACATGACCATGAAGTTTGCTGACTTAGAAGTTATATTCCTTTTATCTATAATTATATATTTTATGTCACAATAGCAATGAACCAAGCTTAAGGCCTGGATGTATATGACCTCGGGTGTGGTCAATCCTCTCTTGACATTTTCTAGGAGTCTCAAACAAGATTATTAATTTTGTTTCCAATGAAGATATCCAATTCCTGCCTCCCTAAGATCTATAATTTTACTTTATCAATTGTAATCTTCTGATCTCATTTAAATTCTTTAACAACCCATGAGCCTAATAACTCCAGAACTCACCAAAATCCTGTAAATAACTTGTAAACAGTGAACTGCAGGACTGGAGAGATGGTTCAGTGGCTAACAGTACTGAATGCTTTTGCAGCGGACCCAGGTTCTATTCCCAGCACCCATACGGCAGCTAACAACCATCTGTAACTCCAGTTCCAGGGGATCTGATCCCTCCTCTGACCTCTGCGAACACTGCATGACACGGGTGCACTTACATATGTGCCAGCACAATACACACATTAAATAAAAGCAAGTATATGCAAAAATCAAATAAAAATAAAAGTGCAATTAATAAAAAAAATGTTAAGTGCAACTATCGCTTGAGCAGCCCAGGACCCCAAATGGTGTGTCTTTCTTTCCCTGTGCACCTTTCTTTCTATTAATCCCCATGCTTAAAATCTTTGTTTAACATGCCTTCTAGTAATAGAAGTCTATTAGAAGTACTAGAAGTCATCTAGTAATATGCCTGCTTCATAGTGTTTTTATATATATATATATATATATATATATATATATATATATATAAACAA